TTTACAATCATTTGACGATAAATACATTCACACACTAATTTTTTAAATTCATTATATAATGTATTTATACACTTTTTTTATTTAATTCATTTTTCTTACATTTTTAGATTTTGTATTAATAAATTAAATTTTTTTACGTGAAACTAATGAATCCCCTATATATTAATTGAGAATCATTTAAAAACTTGTAAGCTTAAATTTATAATAATTAAAAATAACCTCAATCCTATGTGGCATAGCTCTTTGGCTTCTATTTCAAATTCCAAGGATTCTAGAGCATGTGTAATAATGTATAATCTAAAATTTATACTCTCTAGCAATATAATATTTCGTAGGCTATAGTTGGTCGCATATATCAAATATTTATTTTTTGCATGCTTTCCTTTAATAAAACCTACGGAATTACCTAATGTGATTAAAATATATATATGAGAATTAATGATTTTAAACAATAAAGATTTGATAAAAATCTGTATACTTTTTTCTCATTTTGTTTATTTCTTTATTATTAAAATAAATTACATAATTACATTAATCATATAATAAAAATCTAGATATTTTTTGTGTATGTTGTATTTCGAATTTTTTAAAATGAGTATAAATTACTAAAACTGCTAAAAGTCTCACATAAAATTTTAGGATCAAGGTATTAATTTTTTTTTTCTATATTAAAATATAATGATTATAAGACCATATGAAGAAATAATTTTAATTTATATATACTTCATATCGTTTTAATTACACTATACATCGTATGAAAATACATACTTATATTTTTATATTTGCATTGGACATATATTGAAAATTTAATATTTTAATTTTGAAATATGTCATTTTTTTTAAATGATTATAAATTATTGAAACTACTAAACATCTCAAATTAAAAAAAAAATCGTTGGTGTGAAGTTTTGTTACACAAATATGAAAATAATCATAAAATCATATGAGTAGAAACCTCATTTAATAAATATCCATATTAAAAGTGTGCTATATTAATATGTTTATATCACTTAAATTTATTATATATCATATACAATAAACAAGAGTTATAGTTAAATTTATATGCATACGCGAATTTATTACATATTAATAACTGACTTCTTAGTTATTTAATATATATATATATATATATTATTTCATAATATGCAGAAAAATATAAAAAAGAAATATAAAATATAAAATATTTATTGTGCATAAAGTGCAGATCTTAATCTTAACCTAAGTATGTATCTCTTTAATTATTTTGAATCTTAAGTATTTTCTAAATCCGAGGTCAAAACAAAACAAACAAAATGAGAATAAACTTTAAAATAAAATTTATATAGAGTAATAACCAAAATAAATATTTATATTGAGTAATAACCAAAATAAAATAAAAAAACATAACGAGAGAAAAAATTGAAGATAAATAGGATTGGCACGTGAAGGTAAACTTCTCATAACCATAATTAGTTTTTAAATTGTTAAATCATGATATAAAACTGAGTTAATGTTTAATTTGTTAATTTTTAATTTTTTTAATTTTTTTAATCATTATTGTTATGTTAAATCATGACCATAACTAATTTTAAAATTGTTTATTTGTATTTGAAAAACTTAAAATATTGTTTTTAAAAAAAATTAAAATTTCACTTAATTTTTTATAAAATTTCTTTTAAAAAATTTGCAAAAGATATACTTTTCTAATATTATTAGACAATTAAATAAATTATATTAAATTATTTTTGAAACTTATATATTTTAAATGCAAATATTTTACCAACTGCTTCTTAAGAAAGCATTAGAGAACTTGCTAATACCCTACGTACCAATCAAGCCCAGTGGCTCTATGTTTATTTCTCATCACTCGAACACTGAAAAGTGAAAAGATATATAAAGTCGGGTCCATTAAACTCTAAGCTTTGATCTACAGTTCTAATTACAATTTTTTCTGATCCTATGTATAGATAATCCAAAATTCTAAAATTTCAAATACATATAAAAACAATCATAGGTAAATTTTAAATTTGTCAATACTAAAATTTTATATTTTAATTACATATATTCACCATGCGCAAGGCGCATGTTTTATCCTAGTAAAGTATTGTATTAAATGATTTTGTAAATTAATAACAGAAACTGTTTTACTTTCGTGGTGTTCAAGTTTATTTCAAACAATAAACTTAACATAAACTCATATAATAAAAAGCACTGGAGATATTAAATTATACTAGATCCTTTTTCCGCGCTACGCGCGGATAAATACTTTTAGAAACTTACAATTAATTTTGTTGTGTAATATAAAATATTTCAAAAGTTTCATATGTATATAAATTATGTAATTGTTAAGAGATCTGAGACTGAAAAGTAAACAAACATTACTCAACTTCAAATTTCAAAAATACCCGTTTAAAATATAAGAAGAATGTTTTTTTTTTTAAAGAGGGAGAATGACTTTAATAATGTAAAATGAATAATGAAAATATATTCTCATGAAAAACTAATTTTATAAAACTTAACTTTAAAAAATGTACATTTTATCACAATTACTCACTTGAGAAAAAAGTTCAATAACACCGTTGCATATCTAATTTTGTTGTTGTCCCATTCTTGAGCTCATTTGTATACTTCACATCTCTCTTTAGTTTAATTTGAATTGATCGGCTAATACATCTCTACGATTCTACCCAAAACGAAAGAAATAACAAACAAAAAATATCATACACTAAAATTTCTAGCTTTTCAACGTGTTATATTATTTCATGTTTTCTTTAATTTATGAAAGGCCGTTTGGAATTTAAGGCGCGCTAGATATTGCAAGCATGCAATTCTGTCAATTTCACCTTTTTTAGAAAGTGAGAAGTTAGAAAATATATATATATATATATATATGAATATCTGTAGTTTATATTTAGATTTTAACAAATTAAGTTTTTCTTACATATCTTTAATCAACTTATTTTCCCGGGTTTCAAAAAAAAATATTAAATTAAGATTTTTTATATTTATATTTAAAAATCTGTAATATATATACGTACCAATTAGAAAAGCATAAATTGGTATATTTAAATTTGTTTGATTTAATGTTATTTTGTCTGAAAAATTTAGAATGATAAGAACTCACAAGTAATTGGTTTTAACTATACTATTTTATAAATTTTTGTTGTAAGTTTATGTTTTATATATAAAATAGATGTCAAAAGAAGAACTCATTATTTGTTATAGTTTTATTATTAGAAGAATATGATGGGAAATATAAGTTAATCAAACTTTAGTCATAATCTGTGTACTCTTAATCTTAGATAATTTAGGCTTTCATATACCACAATTTGTAATAAAGTTCTTCAAAGAATAAAAAATTGTAATAAAGCGAGTGATGTACAAAAATCTAAGTTGGAATTTTATTTTCTTCGTACAGTATGAAAGTTTATGATATCATGTGCATTTGAATAAGTTCTCATTTTCCACCAACCGAAATAGTTGAAATAATAGAAACCTGAAAAATACTAAATGTGCATGTTTATAATAAAAGTAGATCATAAACAACTTAATTTTCACTACACATCAGTTTATTGGGTCACCACATCATTTCAGTGTTCTATTTAGGTGTCGAGTTTATTACTTTGTTTTCTCTTAAACTCCACCACCCTCTTTTCTTTCTATCCTTAGTTCCGGTTTTGACTCTTATTTGAACCATTTTGTTTCCCACATGCCTGTTCCTATAGAATATAATGACCACCAACTCTGAGATGTTCTAGAATGTTGGTTTGAGTCAAGGGATAGTAATTCAAGAATTTAGGATCATACACTGTTGGAATCATTAAAACAGTTTGCCTAAAATGAGTTTGCTCAGTTTGCCTAAAAGAACACGCCTTGTATTGCAACACTACATATTTTATAGTTTAGAGTCCCTGTAATATCTTCCAAGATATTAAAATAGGTGAGCTTATTCCTTTCAAAGTTAAGAAAAGTATAGAGTGGAAATAAGAACTGTTGTTAAGTTTATTATATTGCAACATAACTTTAAACATAAAAGATTTTAGATAAGACCACCTTTTTGTTTAATTGCTGGTTTTAACTTAACCCTTGGAGTGGTAGTGTGAAGCTACTAACAATTATCACATACACTGAACTGAAAAACATTTCAAAAGTGCTTCTTTCTATAAGTTGAATTATCACTAGATGAGATAGATAATGGCATCACTGTTTCATATTTCTGATCGTGTGAATATACAATAAACTACAATAAAAAAAACATGAGAGACCTTTGAAATGAAATCAAGAATCAGGAGCCTACGTGTCCATTATGTAACCATGTGGTGAAGATATTACTATTAAAGATATTACCATCGTAGGGGAGTCCTGACCACTGAGTGGTTGTTTCTGATCATTGCCATTACCCACAGCTCACGACGCATCTGACTTATTTTCCAACGTACCTAACTGTAAGCATTTGCCCAATTTTAATTAAAGCAAAAATGTCAAAGTGATGTTATCATCATAAAGTGATAATCCTTCATACCACATCCAATGAGCTTACAAACAAAAAGTTTGAAAAGATTAAGACAAAGATTAAAGAACCTACGTGACATGAACATCGGGAATAAGTAAGACACTCTGACCAATTTGGTTAAAAAACTAAAATGGTAAGGATCGATTGTTGCATTAAGAACCCCAAAAAAAATCCTTACCACAATCGCAAAGACGCAACTGAAAAGCAGTAAACTATGTAACAGGAAGGTGTAAAAATGTAACTTGACTGCTCTCTTGACTGTCGGTGTGCCGTGTGGACTTTTTTCCCGGGAGGGCTATTAAAATCACGTGGTGTGCTTTGTTTTCTGCGTTTGATCCATAAGATAATATAAACACCATAAGTAAATAACATAAATTCCTATCTTTTGGTACCAAGTTTCTAACAAAAGCATGTTGATCTAATTCTAAATCAAGGACTTTCAAACCTTTGACCAAAGGTCCACCACATAATTAAATGTAATTGCAGCTGCAAAAGAAAATGGTCTTAGTTATAGGCATTTTTTGCTCATCTGTGACACAAAAGAAGCAGAAAGAACCAACAATAAAGGGGTCATATCCATGTTTATGAAGATTAATAGTATGTACATATACATGAGGATATTATTACCAGTTTCTTCAATAGCAGCTGCAACTAATTTATCAAGGTCACCATTCCGAATACATGTTGTGCAACCGTATCCCACAATTAGGAATCCTTGCTTGTTCAAGTCCTCTCGGACTCCACTGCAGAGAAGGTAAAGGTTCAGTATATATGTTCCACGATCACATAAGACATGTAGATCGAAATATCACTGACTCCAACACACCTTTGGTCCAAATATTTTTCGACAACTCTGGAACCTGGAGCAAGACTTGTCTTAACCCATCGTTTAACCTGAATCATAACGTCAAAAAAGCATTCAAGACATGATCCAAAAACCAGGCTATCTTAGGGTTAAAGTCTCAGAGAAAAGTAGGATCTCACCTTCAGGCTAAGATCATAAGCTTTCTTTGTAACAGGTGCAGCACTGATCATGACACTAGGGTTTGACGTGTTAGTACAACTGGTGATTGCCGCAATAACAACACTACCATGTTTTATCTCAGCAGGTTGTCCATCGTATGAGAACTCCACAACTTCTCCTTGTTTCTCTTTTGGCACTGCAACACCCTTGAAGACGAAAGAAACAATAGTCTTATAGTTTAGACAAAACAAAAGTAACCAACTTCATTGTGCGTTTAATGATTCAAGTTGTATCTCACCTTGAATCCAACAGGATTGTCAAGTCAGGCATGCCAGTCAGCCTTCATATCTTTCAGAGGTACTCATTCATGTGGCATGTTGAACAGAAAGATGGGTCAAAAACTGTAAGAAGGTAAGAGAGATGTGGCAGAATTAAAAAGATGTGAAAGATACCTTTTAGGATCAGAGATACATTGTTCAATATGTCCTAAATCCAATTGCAAATAAGTTGTGTATGATCTTTCTTGTTGGGGCTGCATTATAGTCCATTTATCCGGAGTTAACAAACTTCTTAAACAAAAACTAAACTGATTGAAGAGATGTACATACCTCGTTGGAGTCAACGAACATATTGTTTGCACGCAAGTATGATTCTATCATTGACACCTAAAGAGAGCCAAGTTGAAGATCAAGTGAGTCACAGAAACTTGAGGTAACATGATAGAAAGAGAGAAAGAGAACTCACAGTTTCATCGCTTCTTCCTGTCAACTTCAGATACTCTAGTGTAAAATGATCCACTGGGAAGAAACCCATTGGTGCTCCATACTCAGGAGACATGTTTGCAATTGTGGCTCTATCAGCCAGTGAAAGTTCACTCATCCCCTCACCTACATATTCGAAAATAAAAACCTTGAAAATATTCTATATACTGACTAATTAATTGTCCACAAAGAAAATCGAATTTCTCACCATAAAACTCAACAAACTTGCCGACAACACCAAGTTTCAACGTGTATGTTGTGTAAGAGCCTTCTGGTAAGTCTCAATCACTGGCTCATAATCTTTAGAGACTTTAGCCATCTTCCCGAGAGCAGTTCCTTTCCTAATCAAAGTTTTGGCTACCATCTCGTAACCTGACCTAATCTATCTACCTCTTTCAACTGCCTTATCACAATCCTTGATGCACTCATCATATTGTACCGAACACATTCACATTTAGTTTCAACCTTGAAAAAAGATTATCTTTATATATAAAAACTATACCTTTCCCATCTCGAGGTGAACAGCAGTACGATTTGTGATGTAAGAGATGTCTTCACCATCAATCTTCATAGCTGTGGAGTAATGCTTGATAGCAGTTTCGAAATCCTTCTATTTGTAGGCCGTTTTCCTCATCTCTTTCTCCTTCCTCTTTTTTCTTCTCTTTCTCTTCTACAACCTCTGGCTCTGGTTCAGGCGCCCAGAGCTATAAATCTGAATAAAAAAACGTTCAAAATTAGATGGTAGATGAGAACTTTGCTTCATATGCAATCAAAAAGTACTAAGTTCTATTTCATAAACTGTACCCTTAGATCTAAATCATACTGAGACTTTTACTATGTAATTTATGAGTCTTCTTATTCTCCTTCAATATCTTCACCACCGAACTGAATTTAATTGATGTCTTATTGGCTTTGATTGTCATCTCTCCAGCGAATGTATCACAATCATCATAGAGCTTTCTCCTGATCTTAGCCATAACTTCCAGATTCGATTTCTGGGATTGAGCACGGAGCTTGTTTACGTTTCCTTCGATCTGGAGATGGAGGCGGGTTTTGAAGATCAAAACGGTAAAAAAACGTAACCAAGAGATGGAGATGAAAAGACAGGAGAGGTAAATAGTAATGGGAAGGTTTGGTATTTCTCAAACAATGGAGGACACAGTGAAGTTCAAAAGTCGACAAAGGAGACAAAGCATCATGAACTAAGCTTTAGGCGGAGTTTTGTCCTTTTTAGGTTAATGGCTTTAGAATAACCCGCATGCCCAAAGCCTAGTAAACTCAAAGCAGCAGTGACGTGTCAATTTATGTCTCTCTGATTGGTTTGAATATTTAATCTGATGTGGCATAGCTTAGAATGCTTTATTAAGCACTTTTAATATTGTTAGATATTTACTAAACTTTTTTTTTTGTCGACTTTTGAGTTTTATTAACTCGATGAAGAAGAGTACAAATACAAGATAAGATATATTACACGTGTAAACTAACTAGAGAATAACAACCACATGGACAAAAATTATCATGCAAAGTGAAACACCAGAAGCTTCACCGTCGGCAACGAACCACCGGGTTAGCTTCATCTTCTCTTCCACAAAGCTGCTACCTCCGTCTTCTTGTACTCTTCAAACTCCAATCTTTCACTCAACCGTAGCTTGTAGATCCTTTATCAACCTCAATTCATAATTCTGGGAAAATTCAGATGAAAGATTTTTGTTGGACCACCTTCAATATATAGAAGATGCCAACTTAGCTAAATCCCCATTAAAATCAGCCAAGGTCAATCCAACACCACATCTTTCTTTTCATTAAGGACACTTCATTGAAAGCCAAACGATTGGTTCTATAACAAAGAAAGAGTGAAGATTGATTCCTGTGAAAAGAAATAAGTGCATAACTGAGAAGAAGACAAGGATCCAACACAAACAAAACGGGATCTAATGACTCTTTGTGAAAGAAGGAGAACTTATTATTCAATCAATCCCAGGAAAATAAATAAGAAATTGAAGATTTGCCCAGATATTGACTGAAACAACACAACAATAATCGCCAATAAAAAAAAACTAATTTTGAAAATAATTATTTTAAATATTGTTTAAAAGTAAAAATAAAATAAAGAGTATTTATTTGTATTTTTCCCTTTTTACAAGTCCAAAACAACAAATTATTCGTAAAATAGATTATTATCAATTTTTTATTTCAAAAAACCTAAAAATTATTATTTGATAGTAAATTTTTTTATTAGAATTTTATATATGTAAAAATATATCAATTTAACAAAATATATATACGAATAAAATGAAAATGTTTTCACAGACAAAAATAATGTTTTCAAATTTTTAATAGCAATCTTTCAAAACCATTCTCTTTTAAAAATTTCAAAAAATATAGATTTGAAAAATAATTTATTTGATACTATTTTTCCTTTTCCAAAATTCTGAATAAAACATGTTTGAAAAAAAATCTAATTTTTAGTAATTTTCTGTTTCTAAAATCTTGAACATAAGAGAACTATTAAATAATGTTTAAAAGTTTTTTTTTAAATCCAAAACAAAATTATTTTTTCAATAATTATTTTGAATATTTTTATGTTCTTTTCTTCTTAAACTAATGATGATTTTTGATATATATTTTAAGATAATAAATGAATTTTGAAAATATTATTTTTGAGAAAATAATTAAAGTTAAAAAAAAAGAAGAACTTCTCAGTTTTTAATTGTATTTTTTCTTTATATAAATCGTAAAATTATTTAAAATAATAAAAATGAATTTTAAATCATTAATTTTAAATTTTGTTTAAATTTTTTAAAAAGAAAGTAAAAGGTGCTTATTTATAGATTTCCTTTCTACAAATCCTAAGAAAAATATCTGTAAAATAATTTATTTTTTGATAGTAATTTTCCTTTTAAAATTTTTATATATATTAAAATAAATCACGATTAACAAAATTTATATGCTAAGATAAAATGAAAACAATTTTTACAAATAGTTTAGTTGATACTAAGGTAATGAAAACAAATATTTATAGTAACTGTCCTTTTCTAAAATTTTGAACACAAGAAAATTATAAAAGAGAGTTTAATAGTAGTGTATTTTTTTCAAATCCTAAACAAAAAAAGAATTTTAGAATAATTCTTTCAAATATTATTTATGCTCTTTTCTTTTTAAGCTGATGATTATTTTAATTAAATATACAAAGATAATAAACACAAAATTTGAAGTTCTTAATTTTACAAATTGTTTAAAAGTAGAAAGAAGAAGTTAAAAGTTTTTAATTGTAATTTTAATTTTCAAAAATCCTAAACAAAAATATCGAAAATAATAAAAAATGTATTTAAAATATTAATTTTAAATATTGTGTAAAAGTGAAAAATAAAAATAAAAAGTGTTTGACTGTAGTTTTACTTTTTGCAAACCCTAAAAAAATTATTCATAAAGTATATTTTTATTTACCCATTGGCTTTTCTAAAATTCTAAAGAAAATATTATTGTACTTATGTTGTCGTAGTTAAGTTAATGTTAATGCCATTTGTTACCTTTATGTACCATTTTGGGTATGTCTGATTGCTAAATTATGTAATTAAAACCCTAACTGTAAAAATAGTAGTGATATGAATTGTAAAATAGTAGTTAATAAAATGTTTAATAGTATTGAAAAAATTATCTGATAGTAATCTAATTTTCGGTAATTCTAAATAGAAGATAACTGTACATGATTGTATAATAATAATCTTTATTTTTAAAAATCTTAAACAAAAATGTAAAATAGTATTTGATAGTATTTTTGTTTTTTACGTTATAAATAAAATAGTGTATAAAATATAATGTTTTCTTTTTCAAAAACATAAGAAAAAAGAAAATTTAAAAAAAATCTTTAATAGTAATTTGAAACATAGAGATTTTGGACTTTAGTCTATTATGACACAGAACCCTTAAAAAAAATCTGGTACAGATAAAATTAATCTATATGACCCATAATATGTTAATTTACTTTTATAACTTTAATGAAAATAAATAAAATTAAAAAAAAAAAAGTGAATTTGGTGTCGTTTGGTTCTTCTTCTCCAATCATGCGAGAAACAACAACACGCATCGACAGCAACACACATCACCTCCAGTCCAATGCTGATGCGCCCCGGTTCGAGCACCGACCTGCTCGGATCATAGAACCGGCCCAAGAAGACGATCTTGTCGACCAACTCGATTCAACCGAGGTTTCCCCATCAGATGACACTTACTTGGGTGAGCTGGATGAGCTGAGTGAGCTAAGTGACACTGAAGATGGAGCTGGTTTAGTTGCTGGGCGAAATGGACCTTTTTCAGCCCACGAAAAAATTCATAACAAATTCAATTTGGGTCCGTTTTACACCAAATTCGACCAGGCCTTTGCTGATGGCATTCTGCCCGTTTGCATCAAGAAATATCAACAAAAGGAGTCAAAGTCGTGGTCATATCAAGGGGCATTCAACAACACACTTATTTCTAGTCAAAAGTCTTAGTCTTTGTTTCTGTTTTCTAAGTTTCTAGTTTTCTACAAAAACTCTTCATTTCTTTTGACCACAAGTAGTATAAATATGTAAACTCTTCTATGAATAAAATCAGTCTATGTTTTTGAGTTTAATTTCGTTTCTTTTCTGAGTGAGAGAGAGAGTTCTTTAGCTAGTTCATTGGTGTGAACCGGCTTGTTGATTTGGTGGTCAGCCATTTCATCTTTGTGTGTTGTTTGGTGGTTAGCCAACACATTCATCATTTCTTTGGTGGTTAGCCTTAGATCGTGGGTATATCAAGAGCCATTCCGCATCTCTTGATGATCCTTTCAATCCATCTCAGTTCCAGAAGTGCTGTTTGCCTTCTCGGTTCATATTCAACACCCAGCTAAAGTGATCCTTCGATTTTGGTTCTATCAAATGCTTTAACCTCCGTCGGCGTCGTGTGATGCAATACGAAGGCAAGCTTTCCTCCGTCGCAGATGCACGTGAGATCTCATCCCACAGCCATAGTCAAGTCATCCAATCACGGCACACCGCCGCGAGTTCTTCTATTCAAGTCATCCCGTCATTGTTCTTACCTCAAATTCTCGACGCCGACACCGTTAATCCACCATAGATCAATGACAAATCAATT